CAATAGTCTCAAAACCATGACTGGTGTTCAGTCCAGATGATTTTATAGTTATTTTTTTTAAAAATGGCATGGTTCAAATATCAATTTGTGCAATTATTTCTTTCATATCAATAGTACTGATTTTAGTAATAAAAAAATCAAAATAATTAACTATAAGTTAACAAAATAGAACAAGAGCATGAGACAAAGTTAAGGATTTAATGGGACCAGAGTTTCTGCAAGAGAAAAAGAAGTGATAAAATGAAATCACCTTTTTCATTGACCACAACCTCACTGAAAATGATACAAAAGTAATGTTGTTCTGAAGGGGTTATGCTGCAGATTTGGACATCACCGCCTCATATATTTAGGTGCCAATGCCCAATGGGTATTCTACTTATATATATAAATATTTTTGAAAATGGAGTGTTTGATCAAAGTTCAAAATGGATTGAACAACAGAAAAAACAAAGGAAAAACATGAAATGGACATGACCTCGGAATCAATTAAAGCATCATATTTCTCCCTCACGATGAGTGAGCCTAAAGACACTTTCTTTTTCCTTTTATTATATGCCCACAGAATGCCTTTGCCACTTATATCCGTACGTCTCCATTTCTCACTTCTCGTTTTAGCTTTCTTATTTCTCTGCATTTTATTTTATATATAGGAAGGAAAGAGAAAGCGTTGGCTCTATCCTTGGGCTTTCCCGGGGCAAAAGTGAAACTGCCTTTTCTTTGGTGAAAAAATGGCCTTTGCTATATAAAGGTCATTCCGAATGCATCTGTAACCTTTTTAGCAATGTCAAATAAATATAAATATATAAAAGTCTTAAATTTAATTAATAAGATGATAGCATGCCGTGTGTGAACATTATTTGTTTCATTAGTTTGGCAACGTAGACATTTTTCACATCCAGAATTTGCACACAGTTTATTTTCTAACAAAAAGTTCAAAAGATTCCATTATATACATTTAGCAAAGTAGATAAACCGAATTATCTAGTGGTTAAAAATGATTTTTATTTTTAAAGGTTTTAAATTCCAACATATCGTATATCATGGATTTAAATTTTCATTATCAAATGTGTTAAGAGTATTTTAAATAGATAAAATATTATAATTACCTTTAACTTAATAAAAAATTCATGTATATAATTTTAATTATTTTTATGTTAGATAGATTACTTATCTATATATAAATAAACATAAAGTTTTATCATTAAGTATCGTCATTATTACTTGGTGCAAAACGAATCAAAATGCATGTTTTTAGTCCGCACATTAAACTAAAATGCATAATAGTTTTGAAATTTAATATAAAATAGTTCTTTCATAAATAATGAAATTATAATTTCAAAAGCTGTAACACCCGGAAAAAAATATATTTATAATTAAGTAATTTGGTGAAATTTGAGGACTAAATTAGAAGTTTTTAAAACTTATATATTATTTTAGAAGTTGAAAGAAATTCAGAGACCAAATCATGAATTTTTCCAACTAGTTCGGCATCAAATTCACGTTAAATGCGTGAATTGATTTCTGATTTCAAAAATAATTCATAAAATTTCCTCTCTCACACCCCTCTTTTCAAACCTGATCCCGACGCCGTCTGACCACCGATCGTCGATCCGAAACCACCATCGTGTTCGTCATCGAACGGTGAACAAAACCCCGTAAACCGATCGTAACGAAACGTTGTCTGACGTCGTGAATTTCAATTCAAAGTTTTGACATTTGTTTAACACCACCGCAGTGAAAATGGGTCAATTCATCGTCGATCGTTGCTCCGTTTTCGACATCTCCCGCACCATCGTGTTCCTTGTGTCGTTCTGAGTCCACCAGTGTCCGTTGTCGCCGGCGCGTGAGGGAGGTGAGAGAGTCAAAGTTTCCGAAGAGTTGAAATCGAGCTCTCCACCGTTCAAAATTTTGAACCGAGCTTGGTAAGTGTCTTAAAATCGCTTAAAAAAATTTAGAAAATTTTCAGGAATTTTTCGGGCTCTGTCAGACGTCTCACGCGCCCCCACGGGCCACCCCTGCGCGTGGGGAACTTCGAAAACTGTTGGGGCAGTTTGACCCAATTTTGACCCGGTTCGACCCAACCCGTTGAGCGTTGACCGTTGACTTTGACCAAAAAGTCATATTTTATGTTTTTCGACGTCCTGAGTCCAATTTCGAAATTCGTTTTTCCAAATTCAAACCCGAAAGCCTCAAAATCGTCAATCAAACTCGTTGACTTTGACCAAAAAGTCAATTTTCAAAAATACGCATTTTTTGTTTTTCGACGTCCTGATTCTGATTCCGCAGTCTGTTTTGCCAAATTCGAAGCCGAAAGCCTCCAAATTGTCCGTCAAACCCGAAAAATACATATATACTTAAGAGTTTTAGCTTTGAATGATTAAATTAAGACTTGAGGATGATTAGTTATTGTTATTTGAAGGTACAAGAGACTCTCATGATCACTCGACAGCTCAACCCATCTCCTCTAAATCCGTTAGACCATGTGTGCCAGTATTCACTCGTATGACCCGTAAATCTTATGATTTCATAAATTAATTATGTTACCCACTAGTAATATAGTGTTATTATGAATTAGGTTCAAAAACTGTAGCAGCGCGTGGCGAGGCCAGTACTCAATAGATCTACTGTTTGAACCTATTATCGAGGTGTGTTTCCTATATATTACTTAATTGTTTTATTGTTTTAACATGTGGTACACTAAAATCTATAATTACTGTTTTATTGATGCACCGACTTAATGGTTATGGCTTATGGATTATGACTGCTATTTGATTATTGGTTTTCACTGGTATATGATTACAATGATTAAGGATTTATGGAAATTATGTCACGGTGCAATTGTATTTTTGAGATACTGATTTATAAAGTACAACTCTGATCAAGCTGGAAAATTTTTATGGACTTAGTGTGACTCTTAGGTAGGCTCCGCGGCCCTGAGATCATTCTCGGATAGGCCCTGCGACCCTAAGATGTATTCTTAGGTAGGCCCCGTGGACCCGAAACTTTCTTGGGTAGGCTCTCAGACCCTAAGATGTTCCCTTAGGTTAACTCTTTATACAATGGGTTTAAACTACGAGTTTAAAAAACTACACTACATTATGATTTATGAGATTTACTGAACTATTACTTGGTTAGTGTACCTATGATGATTTTATAGTAATGTTGAGACACACTGAGCCTAACTCACTTTTCAAAAATATTTTTCCCTTTCAGATACTTTTGGTTAGATACACATGATCAAACACTTGGAGGATCAACACATCTATTGTAGTACATCTAATTGTAATGTTGTTATCTTTCAAGTTGACTTTATTTTGGTAATATGTGCTTTTATTTTGATGTATTTGTTTCATGGACGACTATTGCTTTTGATATTGATATTCGGTTTATCGTGATTTAGATTTTACGATATGCTTTAAAAAATTAATTTGTTACTTTTTAGTTTTATATTACAAGTTGAGTATTATTGTTATTTCTTTATACTTATATATATATAAATGTCATTTGTAACATGATTTTAATTATCGAATAATGTTTTTTTTAAATGTATTTATGATTCATGAATGTAACTTGTTGGACTTAGTAGAAACGCATTGATCGGGTCTAGAGGTTACAAAAGCATTTGGATTATTAGTCAAAGAATATTTTCTTGTATCAATATGCATACATCAAATATAAAATGGTATTGATTCTCCTCAATAAAATAAATTATTGGATCATTTTGCATGCACGTTAGCTATTGATATTTCAAATCTGCTTCATTACTCTAATAAAAATATTGAACTTTTGAAGAAAGAATTATATATATATATAAAGGTAGCATTGCATTTGTATTATGGACACTCTTCAGTTATGTTATACACGTACACGCAGCAATTCAATGTTATTATATTCGTACTTTTTGACTTTTAAGGGTTTATGAACACAAAAAATACAAATAATTTATTTTGCAAAGTATATCAGAGATTTTTAATTGTTTAAAGAAATTTGATGATTTTTAATATTTTATATAATTAAATTTAATGTATGTGGCAACGATTTGATATTTTTAACAACAATGTAATTATATTTAAAAACTTATCTTTAATTTTAATATTAACTAAAAATATTTAATATCTGATCTTTTTTTATATCAGTTATACTCATATATATTTACAATATGTTGATATATAAATAAATAAAAACATGAACTCAACGAATTCAATAATTAAAGGATTATTATTGTTTTTTATATCTCAAATTCAAACACAATATTTATAAAAATGTATAACGTTTATTATCAAATGATAAATATTACAACTCTAATTATATGTTTGAGATTTCAAAATAAACTTTCCATTAGAAGAGGAATAAATATATAAAATCAAACACATATGTTGGTAATACGTGTCAAAGTTAATAATCTTCTCAAATCAGTTTATTTCATTCACAAATGTCAAAGTTAAAACTCTTAATCTTACTTAACAAATCTAAATCTTATTTTGTTATATCAACTTATTGTTAATAATTATTTTAATATACAATAATATATTTTTAATTAATATTTAAATAATTAATCATTTTAATAAATATTATGAAATTATATTATAACTTATTCATGAGTATTATTTAAAATATAAATTATACATATATGTATGCATGTTTAAAGCATCTAATTGTATATAAGATTGTAGTACATCCTGATCAATTCAACGGTAATCAATTCTCCAGAAAGTTTCTCATAATTAAACTAGGAAATTAAGAAATTGTTGGCCGATTTTCATATTTTTAAAATTTTAAAAGATAAAGGATAGAATAAAACAATTAATTACCCATTATATTCTCCAAGTAGGCGTTCACTTTCCAGGAAATGTTTTTTTTATTCGAAACAAAGTGCGAAATCGTATCAAAAGAGAGGAGTTGGACACGCGGCTTGTTTTTGGAGATGGGAGTGAGGATAGGAGGGGAGAACGGGGGCAGGAGATTTGGATTTCACGTTTTCTTATTACAAAAACCGAGTACTCTGGTGAAACAGAGCGAAGAGAGGGAGAGAAAGACAGAGTTGTGCATTTATACCGAGAGGCAGAGAGAGAGAGAAGAAGAAGAAGAAGAAGAAGAAAGCGTTTAAGTGGCGAATGATAGATCGTCGCTGAAAGTTTTGGTTAAGAGCCTGGTTTAATCCAAGATTAGATCAGTTGTTATGGCTGCTTGTTCTTCTCTTCTCTTTCCTTTGCTTTTGGTTCTTCTCACTTTCTCAGGTTCATATCCTTCGTTTCTAACTTCCAACTCTTGTCTCCGTTTTTGAGTTGATGGTCATTTTCTTTATCCGTTTCCAGAGGAATGAAAACAGAGTTTCTGTCGAGTTCATAACCATGGCATTTCAATTTCTTAATTTTTTTTATAATTTCCATGCAAAAAAAATCATATATTACTGTTTCTTCGATTGTTAATCTGAGCTAAGCGCAATTCATTTTTATATAAGATACGATCATTTGTGGGTGATCAATGTTTAGTACACAAGTATAATTAATTTCTGCTCAAATAAACTAAAGCTTCGATTGTCAATGATTGATCCGTTTGTTTCTTTTAATTTTTATGTTTCCAGATTCATCAGTGGAAGTCCATGGTCTCGGAGTTGGAATCAACTATGGCCAAATTGCAAACAATCTTCCATCTCCAACCCGTGTCTCGCACCTCCTCAGATCCCTCAATATCAGCAGAGTTAAACTCTATGATGCAGATCCCAATGTTCTTGTTGCTTTCTCCAACACAAATGTTGATTTCATTATTGGTTTAGGGAATGAGTACCTTCAAAACATGACCGATCCGATCAAAGCTCAGACCTGGGTTCAACAGCGAGTTCAACCCTACCTTACTCGGACCAGGATCACTTGCATCACCGTGGGGAACGAGGTCTTCAAATACAATGATCATCAGCAATGGTCCAATCTCCTCCCAGCTATGCAAACAGTTTATAATACTCTTGTTAATCTTGGCCTTGATAAACAAGTATCCGTTACCACCGCGCATTCGCTCGATATCTTAAGTGTGTCGTTCCCTCCTTCGGCCGGGGCTTTCAGGCAAGATATTGGGGAATATCTACATGGTATCTTGAACTTCCATGCTCAGGTCAAGTCCCCGTTCTTGATCAATGCCTATCCGTATTTCGCGTACAAGGATAGCCCGAATGAGGTGCCATTAGACTATGTGCTTTTCCAACCTAATCAAGGGACAATGGATCCTTTTACCAATTTGAAATATGATAACATGTTGTATGCTCAAGTTGATGCTGTTTATTCAGCTATAAAAGCAATTGGGCATACGGATATCGAAGTCCGGGTTTCAGAGACGGGCTGGCCTTCCAAAGGGGATGAAAATGAAGTAGGAGCTACACCAGAGAATGCAGGATTGTATAATGGCAATCTGTTTAAAAGGGTAGAACAGAGACAAGGTACACCGGCGAAACCAAATGTCCCGATCGATATATATGTTTTTGCTCTTTTCAATGAGAATCTAAAGACAGGTCCAGCATCTGAGAGGAACTACGGCCTCTTCTATCCAGATGGCACCCTGGTTTATAACATTGGAGTTCAGGGTTATCTTCCCGAGTTGATATATTCATCAGCTACAAAAAATAATGTAAGAAAAGCGTTTCTTAATTTTTCAATAACTCAAGCATTTTATTTAAATAATGACATCTCCATTAATTCTCTTTAGCTTTGAGCTTTCTTTGCAGGGATTCTTAGTCTGCAGTCTTCTGATCTTGGCTATGACATACTTGATCTTCTCTTGAGCATAGGTCAATTTGACTAGTTAGATAGCTATCCCAAAGGGAAAACACTCAAACAGTATTGCTGGAGATGACTCGAATTCCAGGGAAGAGGAAATTTCAGGTGAGATATTCAATGCCATTTGAAATGTTGCAGCATACATCAATTAATAAACTATCAAAGTTGTTCATCCCTATTTCTTTAAGTAGCAATGTGATCCATGTGCACCATACATGTGAAGCCATGATTACATGATCCATTTGCATGTGAACATGGATGGATGTTAATGCACTACACCAGAGTCTAAGCCTCATATTAGTTGATCTCTGCCAACTCAGGTTTCTTTCATTTACTTGACCATCAACAACCTCATAGTTTAAATTGTGCTGGCACAGTGTGCATTTTTCATGCTGCTAACCCTCTTTTCAAATCCTTTGAACTCATCAAACACTCGGGTTTCGAGAAGTTGGAGTTGAAGTATTCAGATTCCAGCCTTTCTCGTGTCGAAAGATTAAAAATTTTGGATCCGTCTTCTTGTAAGGTTTTGACCCCACGGCATCCATAAACAAGACCCCAAATGGGTGGTGTCAACTCCACGTATGCACCCACTGTCTGGTCTGGTGTGAAACCTCAAACTGCTATCATATATATATAGTTCATTTTAAATATGGTAATGGGTCTCTATCTTTATTATCTCAGCCTGCAAAGTTTTATATCATGCATGTGAAATCAACGCGTATCGAAATTCTTCCTTGTCGTCAGCTATACAAAAGTCCAAATTGGCTTCCATCAAGAAGGCAAAGACAGAAAGCCATTAGAATTTGTCTAATGGCCGACAGCCACAACTCACATTTCCTCTTTTATTTTATTTTCCATCGTTTTCTCACCCAAAATTAAATCCTGAGGCGGTTGAGCTCTTATCTCTAAAGATGAGGTTCGACAATGTGCTTACGTTCTCGGTGCCTAGGCGGCGTTAGAAGTTTTATTCAATGTCTCATAGGTTTAGGTTACATCTCTATTTATAATAAAAAATCTGATACATAATTACATAATTAACCTTGTCCAAATTCGCTCACTCCCCTTCATCCCCTATTCTCTTTATTGATATATTTATGAGCCATACCTATCACATGGTTTATTTAAGCTGCTTAAATGTCTGCTTATAATTAAGAATTTGTTTTTATAGTGATTATCTAGTAAAGTTAAAAGTAGGGTGGTAGCTTTCAACCTCTTGGACCATGCTTTTTTAATTATGAAAACCTTGCATCAGCATTAGCCAATGGATAAGCTTGACAGATGGACCATTTTATTTGACCATTCAACCTACCGACCAACCTGGCAACCAGATCAACTTTTGATCCTCTGTTGGTTTGGTTTGACAGTCTCTTACCTGAAGAAGTTGGTACACTGATTGTCTATCCTACATGAAATACTAATGTATCTCCCTTGTTCCGATCATATCCGAAACTCGTATTCGACTCGTTTTAGAAATGTAAAAACTTGTATATACCGAATTTGTCACACCCGAGTCTTAGTAAAATAGGTCTTAGCTCACTAACAACATCAGTAGTGTGTTATATTCATGAAAAATGTGAACATCAAACAGGTTCCATACATATGACCTCGGTATTATACTTTGCAACCATGTAAATTTTAGGATACTGCAATAACCGAATAATTTGTACCACCAATCATGGATTTGATGTTTCTTTTATGCATATATTATTTGATTTCCATTATAACATATGATTGATGGATGGATTGGTTGGTCGGTTCATTTTTCTGTCAGCAGGTATGAGAAAATCAGTGAGGAATTAGTTCCAGGAGATGGAGGAGGGCCCTAGTTTAAAGGTGACATTGTGGTAGCCAAGGCAGTTAAAATCACTAACAGTTGATACATGGATTTAAATTTTATATATATATATATTCTTTAATAAAAAAAATACATAATAAAGATGGTGAAGTTGATGAGGATTTTGAAGAAGGCTTTAGCTGGTTTTCATGTTGTTCCCTATATAGTTGTTGGAAATATTGCTCTGTATACTAAAATAGATTGTTTTTGTATTGTTATTCTTGCATATTAAGAACTTTACTGTGTTCACTTAATTTGATATTGTTATTTTTATATTTATTTTATTTGTTTATTTATTTTATTCTAGCATATTTTACGTGTTACATTTTCAGAAAGATGGATAAATTCAATTATTATATTTGATAAAAATATTATTAGTTCTATATATCAAAAAAGCATCTTAAATTAGTGATTAGAAAATCCCAATCCCAAATTGTTTGTCGAGGCATGAAGGGTAAGGATGTAATACCAAATTCTTGAACCAATCAAAGCAGAATCAAATGCTTGCGAATCACAAGGTTAAATCAATCGTCTTTTTAATTCTGAAATTGAATACTACTTTCACTGATTAAATGCAAAAAGCTTTCCATAAATGATTTTTAAACCATTACATGCAGATGCTGTTTCATGGACCATTTATAGTACAGTGTCGCAATAATGCAAAAGTTGATTATTTATTAGTCAATACTTAAACAAAGCTCATTAGGGTTTGCTTAAATCTTTTTATGGGTTATTAAATGCTATACATTTTTATAAATAATTTTAATTTTATTTAGGGTTAATGCCTAAATAAGTGCTCAAAATACGCTTTTTTTGTCAAATAAGTACCTACGGTTTTTTTTACCTATCCAAGTGCCTAACGTTGATGAGAAAAAGATTTACTAACTCATCTAAAGCTTAAAACAAGGTTAATGACACTCTAAGTAACTCAAATTTACTAGAATAAACTTGAATCCTTTGAATTTCTTAACTTTCCCAAAAACCCATTTTCTAAAATTTTACCCAAAACTTAAGATTTAAGGCTTGAATTGAAGCTTAAGGGATGGATATTAAGGTTCTTACTTTGCTTGTTTCTAATTAGGCTTGGAATTGGGAATGACAGGAAGAAAGAAATGAAGAGGGGAAGGGAAATATTTTGGTGGGTTTGGGTTTTCACGTGAAACCTCTTAAAATAAGGGGTTTCTATCCTTTAAAACAAGAAACGGATAAACGACACTTTTGGTTCCTTACCTTTAAAACCCAACTTAAAATCATCACTACCCCTTAAATCTTAGACCAAACTTAAATCCAATACCCTATTGCATATGTCCAAACTGACTTGGGAGATCTAAAAGACTATAGGTTGCGGATTGACCCGAACTACTGACCCAAAATTCAGGATATCACACGCTTGGCTTCTTTGGTGTGTGCCATTGCAACAACAATATTGCAACTCGAGTTACTGGAAACCTAGAAACTTAAACAAAGCAAATCAAGGCAATGGTTGGCAAAGAATGGGGGAACTTAGGGTACTATTTATAGTTGATTGGATGGGCATTGCCTCAATTTATTTCAAGGAACATTTTCAGGTGGTTGTTGCTTGCTTAATTCAGACAACTTCTTGTTTGTGAGCAGATTTGCTTACTCCACCAGTGATGTTCGGTGCTCTTTTTATATCTATAATACATATTTTATAATTTGATTTATTGGATTTAATTTTATTTATATTAGAGCTCATTGAGCGACCTTAATAATTAACGTTGGCGTTATTCTCTCAAGAAGTCCTAAGTTCAAGTGAAATATATATGGTCTGCTACGTTGCTTTGCTTCATTAGAAGATTAACATGATATAGAAATAGACAACGAGCCTTCAACTTTTGTTACAAATTAATTAAAGAATGGAATTTTGGTTATTGTCGAGTGTTAACAGTCTCCAAAACGATCATTGGCCCATTATTAAGCAAACACTGATGTGGTTTGCTTCAATCACACCAAATACTTATATTGTATGGTTTTAAAATCTTTTTACAAAATCTTACTTAACCTTACACTTAAAAGGTTATTAACCAATCTTGTTTATAATCATTGATATTATATTTATTAATCGATTAATTTAAATTAAACATCGTAAATCATTTTTTAATTCAGTTTATTTCATTCACAACTCAATATATATATATCATTTTTACTTGATAAAAAATTGATATGCATATGGGATTTGTATTCGTGAGAGCTACGTATAAACTTTCTCTTACCTAAATATAGTGACATGGGAAGTATGTTAGACTTGACGATGTATATATATATCTTATCATATCTTTATATTCATTTTCGTATTATTTACACATATTAGAAAAGCTACAAGTTGAAACATAATTGATGAGAGTCATATGACTATGCGACAAACCCATCAAAGGGGAACTTGAATATTTAATTTAATAATTATTTAACCGTCGATTAATCATTTTGTTAAAACTAAATTTATTAATAAAATTAAAAAGGTATAATAAAAAAATCTTACAAATATGTACATCTTAATCGCCATTTAACTTTTATTAAGGTGGTTGCATATGTTGTTTGAAGAGTAAATATTTATCAAAAAAAAAAATCATTGGATATCGTTAGTTTAAAAGTGTTCTTTAATTGTGGTGGTTACAATGAATGTGTTTTTTAAATTAGATGACTAAAATTCAAAATTTTGTAAAAATGGAGTGACTGCTGATGTAGTTTACCCTTCATATATTATGTGTATAAAAACGGGTATCTTATTATTATAAACTGAAATTGATTAATTAAATTTCGTTTAAATAATTAAAAAAAGACTCCGAGTTTTATCATTCTCATTATGTAAATTATTGTCTAAGTTTTTCGTTTATAAATTTGATAAATCGAGTTATTTTTTAACTAATTTAATTAATCACTATCAATTGGTAAATGTCAATATCCCATGGGCAGGTAATTTTTTGTTGAAACGTGCCCAAGATGAATAAATGAACTAACCATCGGAATAGACCATCAAACGCGTCTTGACTGGCTGATAGTTGAAAGTGTAAGCCACCATTAAATTAAATATTCTTTTTTTTATTGGTACTATTCTAAAACCACTTATCCCAATAAGCATTTTGAGAAAGACAATCCAACTCCGATAGCCAATCGATTAAATGTGTATAAGACATTATCTGTTTAAAAATAATTCTTAATTTCTTGATATTGAAACGTTCACACTATTAGCATTCTCAATGCTCAAACTCAGGTCCTCAAGAAATAACAATAATTCTTTTATTAAGAAGGTCACTTAGTTCGTGCTTCATTAGCATATGAATAAATTTTAGATGCTTTAATATTAATTATATCATTTTTATGTCAATTTTAATATTAAGTTTTAATTAAGATATTAAATTATTATTATTTCTAGAATTAAACTATTAAATTATTAATAATATGATAATGTAGTCGTTTTTATAAAAAATAAAATCTTTTTATAATCAATGTTGATTAATTATAATCCGTCATTAATCATTGTTTATGACAAAATCAATACAAAATATTTGAAATACTAATAAATCAGTCTTTTTTATAATAATAAAAGTTAACACTTATTGTTCATTTAAAATAATTCTTCATTTCTACCAAATTTGGCTTCTTCAACGCTCCAAAATCCCATAAAACAAACACCCAAAAGAAAGAGAAAAAATGATTCTAGTAATATATTATATTTGTGGATTTTCAGGTAATGATTCTCACGTTTGAAAACACCCTTTTACTTCAATCCAACTCCATCATCTCTCTGTCTCTTCCAAATCCTGATTCTCAAAAAAATCTTCTCATCTTCCTTATTTATTATTTTATTTAAAATATTCGAAATGAACATAACTGTCATAGCCAACCATGACCGATGTCCGTTTTCCTTCACCTCAAAGCACTAACAACACTTCCTCTTCTGAACCTGAACCCATGATGACAGAAATGACTTCATCAACGCTGTAACCGAGAAGGGAGAAGAAGAGAACAGAGATCAGTTGTAATTGTGGGCTTTGGTTGCGAGTAAATCATTGACTGCTTGTAAGTATAAGTATGGATGGAAGGGAGCATTGCGCTATGGAGATCAGTTGGCCGACCAATGTCAGACACGTCGCACATGTTACCTTTGATAGGTTCAACGGCTTCTTGGGTTTGCCTGTTGAGTTTGAGCCTGAAGTTCCCAGAAAAGCTCCTAGCGCAAGGTTTTGCCGTCTCTACCAAACTTGCATTCTTTGTTGCCTTGTTTCCATAACTTGGTTCTTTTTCCTTCTTTCGGCAGTACGACTGTGTTCGGAGTTTCCACAGAATCCATGCAGTTGTCATATGACTCCAGAGGGAACATGGTGCCAACAATACTCTTGCTAATGCAAAGACGTTTATATGCCCAAGGAGGCTTGCAGGTTTAATTTCCTTTTACAATCCTTCGTCTTCAACCTGCAGGTTTAGTTTCTATGTTTTATGCCTTAAGTCGTTATTCGCACATGCAGGCAGAAGGGATTTTCCGAATTAATGCCGATAACAGTCAGGAGGAATATGTTAGAGAACAATTGAACGCCGGAGTGGTTCCGGAAGGGATTGACGTACATTGTTTGGCCGGACTAATCAAGGTATGATAATGCCTTGGCCATTTCTTCTGTTAATGCCTTCTTTTTTATATATATATATACCAATATGCTGTGGGTTATGCTTAGGCTTGGTTCAGAGAACTTCCAAGAGGAGTCTTGGATTGTTTATTGGCCGAGCAAGTGTTGCAATGCCAAACTGAAGAGCAGTGTGCTGAGCTTGCAAGACTTGTAGCCCCAACGGAATTTGCTCTACTTGATTGGGCCGTCAATCTCATGGCTGATGTTGTTCAGCAACAACATCTAAACAAGATGAATGCCCGTAATATCGCTATGGTTTTTGCACCAAACATGACTCAGGTGAGTTTCTTATAATCTTCACAGATATGTATATATGTAATATAATGTCCTGATTGTTGGCTGCCACTCATTGCCTATTTTGGTTGCAGATGACAGATCCTTTGAATGCACTGATGTATGCAGTCCAAGTGATGAATTTCCTCAAGACACTTATCTTAAGGACCCTGCGAGAAAGAGAGGATTCGGTGATCGAGCCAACCACCGCTGTCCGTCTGGAGCTTTTCGATGATAACGGAGATCAGAGCCCTTCAATCTCCCGCATTCAAGATGCTGAAAAGGAAGATGAAGAGAAAGAGCTTTTCTCCGTAGTTGAAGAACCTCCAAGTGAAAGTTTCAGGAATTATAATATGAAAAATGAGATGAAAGATGAAGAAGACCACGGCGCGACACCGACCGTCCAAGGGCTAATCACTGATGCAGGTCAGCCTGATGAGACTGAAACCTTCACCGGTGAAAGAGATGCCATATTGCCATTGTTGCCAACTGCCTGAAGCCTGGTACTCAACACCTAAGATGCTCTGAAAGATTAGTTAGCTATTGTTCAATTTGGAAGTTGTGAAGAAAGACTTATGTATCTTTTCAGTGTGATGAGTGGTTTGTTTAACCTTTTTAAATATTTTTTCCAATTTAAGTTTGTATATGATTAGCGTAACTCATGTAAGGAAAGAATTATAATAAATAAAGATAAAAATGAGATGCAATATGAAGTAATAAAACTACTGCAATTCTCCAATCAAAAAAAAAATACCACTGCAATTCTATACACACACATATATGATATATGTATGTATCCTCATATTCATACACATGAAAAGAAAATTAAAGATCATCAAATGTTTGTACAATAAAACAGAGAAACAGAAGTGATGAATATTAAAGCCAAGCAACTTGAGCCAACACAGTTAATGGCGCCACCGTTAGACCCATGGTGATGGTAACGGTTATGATTCATGGCACCTGCAGTATAAACTGGAATCTGTGCTCCCGATCCTCTGCCGTTGTCCCCACCATCACCTCCTCCTCCATTGGCGCTGGCAGCCGTGTCTCCTCCGCCACCGCCGCGGGCTCCAGCAGCTGCACCACCACCACGTTTTTTAACAACTCTGATCACGTGCTCACCTCCTGATTCAGTCGAGATTGAGACTGGCTTTGCCGCCTCCTTTGCTTCTTTATCATTTTGGTCTTGGCCTAATTCAGAATATTAACTATTTCATCAATTTTAATTTTTAATATTTAAAAGAAAACACGGTGGAAAGTTGCTTAATATATCCAAGATAAGAAACAAATTAATTCACACGGAATGTTACTTATATCTAATTAAGAAATTATGAACATATTATCGTTTCACCTAATTAAGCTTAAAAGAAAAAACTAAACTTGGACAGCTTTAACTGTGAGACAATCAACCACAAGAAGAAGCGTATATGAAAAAACTAAAGCAACTGAAGAATTAATATGAATATAATTAAATACCTGCAAGCACGGGTTTTGGAGGAAGTGCAAGAAGAAGATGAAGGTGAAGGAAGAGCAGCAAAAAGAAGGTTGCTGCTGGGAATCTCAGGTGCTTGAAGCTCATATTGAAGCCGATTTCCAGCATAGAGTAGCTTTGCAAATTTATATGTTTCATAAAATATTTTCAGTACTGTCAACTCATATATATTCAGTTTGCGTGGCCGAGTGGAGTAAATTGGCTTATTTATCCACGTATTACTCGAAAATAATATCTGTTTATGATTATTTACAAAAGTGATACTCGAATTTATTTTATTGACGGCAAACACATTTTCTTAATTATTTGAATTATTATATAAACCTTAACAACCTAAACAATATGATATCAATAAATAAGAATATATATTAATCAAATATCTAATACGACATACTTTCTACGTATCGATTTGGATATTGTTTTTCTAAAATGGAATTTTAAAAAGATAAGATTTGAATAAATAAATAGAATAAACCAGCCCACTTGTTTCCAGCAGACAGCATCGTTTTCCCTTTACAAAAAGTTATTCGCCACATAAAATATTATTACTATGATAATTGTTCAGTATATATCCTCTCCCACACTCGTTAGTGCATGTTTGGACCGACTTCTCCATTTTATCTTCAGCATTTTTTTTAAAAAAAAAGGAAGGGTTTGGGTTTTACTTATTGCATAAAGAAGAAGATAGCATTTTCTTTCTTTATTGATTAACAAAAAGAAAGCATAAAAGATGAGAGCCACATGAATTTCTTAATAAGGTTGGCCTCTTCTTGCCTCCTCTCAAGAAATCAAGTTACAACACACTTTTACTTTGAAAACCGACCCTTGTGTTAGGTTTGAAGTGTAATATACCTTTAAAAAGTGTAATGTATATTTATTTAAATTTTAAAACATTAATAAATTTTATGAAAATATAATTTATGAGTTATTATTATCAAAAATGTTAAGAATACGAAATTAATTTAATATCAGAAAGAAAAAGAAAATAACTATAATTTATAGTTATTTTCTTATTCTTTATTGAGTATTAGTGGATATCTCTCTCGCATGCACATGTGTTACTGTCAATTAATTAATGATTGTGATCATTATAATCATGTATCATTGATACGTTACGCGTGTATAATCTTTTTAGAGATAATCTATTAGTTAAATTTAATGACATATTTTCTATCCATTTTAGCCCCTTCTCCTAACTTATAAATAGAGAGTTTTTGTGCTCATTCTAATCATCTAAAAAAGTGCTAAAAATCATTTAAACAATTCTCTATTTTCTTCAAAATTTCTAAGAGAGTCGTATTATTAGTTTTCTACAAAATTGTAAAGTACAGTGTTAATATTAGGGCACCGTTCATCTTAAGGATTATACAAATCAAGATGATTTTATTCTTAAAACAATGATTCATCTATGGTACGATCAAATTAATTCAATTTCTATGCTACAATAAAATTAGGGATATATTGCCAACTAGGGAAAGATTGAGGGGCGGGTAGGGCAGTCACCCCTGAAAATTTAAAATTATCACATATTTTAAATTTTATTTTTATGTATCTTCTATTGAAAATTTATTTTCGTCTCACTAAAATTTTATAAATTCCAGTTCACCTCCTAAGTTCAAATCCACCCTTAACAAAAAAAAAAAAATTATCCTTCTTTGAACAAAACCTAATAAATAAATAAATAAACTGTACGAACATGAGATAAAAATAATTCAAAACATGAGTGCCATTCAAAACATGAGATAATAAATAAATTTTAAATTTTCATGGAATGCCATTTTGCATGTTTTGCTCAAAGGAAACATGAGTGCACGTTTTTGAAAACGACACACAAATTGAACTATGCTAGCCGGCCGCTGCTTCAAGGCTGGTCGTGCTCGCCATTCAATTAGAAGCTAGCTTCGGTTCCTATATATATATATATATATATATGAATGTTCTCTATAGATTTCATCTCATCTCCATTTGGCAATTCCCAGAAGAAGAACAAAAAAAAATGATATCAAGGGCAGTAGCAGCAGCTGCGTTTTTATGTAGTACTTGGTATCATCCTTGTGAATTTCACAGGCCAGTGCGACGCATCTCTCCAGGTAGGATTTTACAAGGGTAAATGTAACTCAAGTAACGTTGAGGGCATTGTGTTCTCGGTTGTCGAACGAAGATTCAACGAGGCAAAAGGAATCGCACCTGCTCTCATTCGTTTACATTTCCATGATTGCTTCGTCAAAGTAAGCAACTGCAGGAGTTTTCCTTCTTTTTTTCTTTTGTTAGTTTGTTATGAAAATGGGTTTTAAAGAGTTGGATTTCACATGTTCCAAAGGGATGTGATGCATCGATTCTGTTAGACGGCGACTCCAGTGAGAAAAACGCGACCGCGAATCTAAGTGTTAGTGGGTATGATGTAATTGATGAAGCAAAGGGATTGCTTGAAGCAGCCTGTGAAGGAGTTGTTTCTTGTGCTGATATCATCGCCATGGCTGCTAGGGATGCTGTACAATTGGTAATATCTTATTTACGATGTAAAATTTCAGAAGATAAATTAGCTCCAGCTGTCCAGCATAGTTTGAAGACAAGTTTTGTTTGATTTGATGCAGAGCGGAGGAGAACGATATGAGGTTCAGACCGGAAGAAGAGATGGTACCGAGTCTTTGGCATCGAACGTCAATCTTCCTTCACCAAGATTCTCAGTTTCTCAATCGGCTGATGCATTTAAAAATAAAGGAATTGGTCTTGAAGACATGGTTTTACTCCTAGGTATATTTTTACTTCAACGTATATTTTAGTCATATACTTGAAAGATCATAATTTGTGTGTGTATATATATATATATATATATGCATGCATTGCAGGTGGTCACACAATAGGGTTTACACATTGCTCTTTCATTAAAGACCGGCTTTACAACTTCGGGGGCAGCAGGAAGGCGGACCCGACAATGGATCCGTCATTAGCTGAGCAGCTGAGATTAATCTGTCCGGAGAAGTCAGAAGCCGACGCAGCTGTGAGTCTTGACCAGAATCTCACGAGTACATTTGTTTTCGACAGCTCCTTCTACAATCAAACAAAGAAACACAGAGGAATTCTTGGCATTGATCAAGCGTTAGCCTTGGACCCCTTGACCAGTAACATCGTGGCCAATTTAACTACCGGCAGTAACTTCACTGCTAGGTTCGGACAGGCAATGGTTAAGTTGGGATCTGTTGAAGTTCTTTCTGATTCACAAGGGGAGATTAGGAAATTATGCCGTGTTGTTAAAAACAAACCCAGCTCCTCCTCCTTCGGCCTTTTGGGTTGATTTCTTTTTCTTTACATACATGCCTTTTTGGTTTTCTTGGTCCTTGTTGTGTTTCACTGCTCATTGAATTCGATTTGTAATAAATTATTCTTTCCATGTCCATGTATATCTGCAAATTCCTAACTTGATGCCACCCAAGTTACTATATGCGCCTAATGCTGTTCCTTTCCCTTAGCCCTTAACATAAAAATAATATATTCGTCCTTGATTACAACAAATTTAATATAGTTGTAACCATGGATTTAAATAATGATTGTAGCATGATGTTAGGGACATAATGTGTAAAAGGAAATTATCCCATCAGTTTCACCTTACAACAACTGCAAGAAAACAGCACCCCACCATCCACACCAATAGCGACGAGCCATATACATGGGAGAGGCCCATCCCCCACAATTTGTTTTTGTCTAATTCAACTTTAAGTCCCTATATATTTGAACATTAATAAAATTGAGCCTTGGCCACCTTCAATTTTTTTGGTTTATATACTTGTTAAACCCTTAATAAATTTTCCAATAAAAAATTAATCTTAACTCCATCCCTACATACTAGTATGTTTTATTTTCAAATTGTGCTTTTAATTTGTTTTGCTTAAACATGTCCTAAGCTCGTCAATGCATTCAATAGCTTTGAAGTAATCCTACAGTTTAAAGCCCCGTCGTAGGCGGAATCTAACAGTAATATGCGTGACCAAATTATAAGGGCCTAGTCTCTACTTATAGATGAAAGTTGAATTTAGGAGTGTCCAAGTCTACTTTTTCCTCATGATCGAATGTGATGTAGTAAGTAAAAGATGGGGTAAAAGTATAAGGTGACATTGACTGATTTGCTGCTGCTGCTCTTGTACCAAATATCAAAGAGAAGCTGCAATTTATTGGGCAGATAGAAATGGTTGAACTATATAGGTAGAGAGATGAATGGGTCCAACTGAATCCAGCAGTACAAATCGCAATGCAAGTAAATAAATGGGCATTTAATGGAATTGGAGGCCCCACTCTATTTATTCTAACCCCCTCCATGTCAAAAGGGTTCCCCACTTGCCATCTTCCATGCATCCTTGTAAATTATAATCTTATAGGTTAGTATTAGATACCATACATGTCTAAGACAACATATTCTCTTATCATATTTAATATCAAATTTCATAATGAATATATATATATAATGAACGTTGAATCTCTCTTCCTCCTCCCACTAAGCTAAAAAAAAGATTAGGGTTTTACATTGTACAATTGTACGGATATCAAATAAAACTTTATTACAATCCACCGGCTCATATTTTATAACTTGAAGTTAATTTGAAATTTTTTTTGAATTAAGTTTATAAAATTCAAGTCGAGTTGATTTTTGAGTTTCTGTTTAAATTTAATTGTAAATATTTGTAATATTATGATATTATTTTATTCAAATTTAAATGATTTTTTATAACCATATACAATATATATTTTAACCAGTTATATTGTATATATACCTATTACTTTAAAGTAATCGGTTTCAAAATTTTAAGAATCGATACTTTTTATACGTTTATCGATACTTTATAGGCGCAATTATGAAAACTGGTTTTGTCAAAAAGACGATAAACCTGTTATGTTATTTTAAAACCGATACTTTAGAGACGTTTTAGTTTTTTCAACACTTTTATGTACGGTATTGATACTTTAGAGACGTTTTAGTTTTTTCAAAACCGGTAGCAATTTATTGTTTTTGTTATATATTTACATGTTATATTGTTATGTATCTATACATTTTTATAGGCGCTATTATTGCTTTTCTTTTAAATTTTAAAAGTGTCGATACTTATTTGAATGGAATCGATACTTTCAACATATCCGGTAGCGTTTTACCGGTTTTATCATAATGAAACCGGTTTTATCATATTTTAACCTGTTATATTATTATGTATCGATACATTTTTATAAAAGATTGATACTTTATAGGCGCTATTATTATTTTTCTTTTAAATTCCAAAAATTCCAAAAGTATCTATACTTATTTAAATTGAATTAATACTTTCAACATATCCGATAGCGCTTTACCGGTTTTGTCATAATAAAATCAATTTTGTCATTTTTTTACCTGTTATATTATTATGTATCGATACATTTTTATAAAGTATCGATGCTTTATAGGTGCTATTACTGCTTTTCTTTTAAATTCTAAAAGTGTCGATACTTATTTAAATGAAATCAATACTTTTAACATATTTGGTAGCGCTTTACCGGTTTTGTCATTATGAAACCAGTTTTATCATATTTTTACCTATTATATTAGCAACCTTAAAAAAATCGGCAGTTAGTTTAATGTAATAGGTAGTGCTTATTTTTTACCGTTTACATTATTAGCAACTTTAAAAAAAACTGGTAGGTATTTTAATGTAATAGATAGCGCCTAATTTTTTTACTGTTTACATTATTAGCAACCTTTAAAAAAAACGGTAAGTAGTTTAATGTAATAGGTAGCGCCTATTTTTTTTACCGTTTACATTTTTAACAACTTTAAAAAAAACGGTTGGTATTTTAATGTAATAGGTAGCGCCTATTTTTTTTATCGTTTACATTATTAGCAACCTTAAAAAAACTGGTAGGTAATTTAATGTAATAGGTAGCGTATATTTTTTTACCATTTACATTATTAGCAACCTTAAAAAAAAATCGATATGTATTTTAATGTAATAGGTAGCGTCTATTTTTTTAACCGTTTATATTATTATCATCCTTCAAAAAAACTGGTAGGTATTTTAATGTAATAGGTAGCGCCTACTTTATTTTAACCGGTTAAATTTTAAATATAAGTATCGATATATACAATATAGGTATTAATATTTTTTGAGGACAATATTTCTATAAATATCTATATTTTTAGAGTAAGTATATATACATAAGTTATGCAATTTTTGTTTCAAATTTTTTTAATAGTTCTTCATATTTTTCACCTACAACATTAATTTAATAATTTTATTTACACAAAAATTATTTAATTGTTTAGATATTTTATAAAATATTGTTTAAATATTTTATAAAATATTATTTAGAATTTAAATTTAACAATTTTAACAAAGATAATAATAAATATGTAATATCTATGTGTGTGTTTTTAATTTAATAATAATATATGTTGTAACATAAAAATAAATCATTAGACGCGTATAATTACTAAATTAATATCTTAAAACTCACTCAAAAGATAACCATAAATTAATGTTTTTCATAGTGAAATAAGTATGAACACTTATATATATGTATTGATACCTACACGTAACCACAGTTTATCGGTTACTAAATTTTTTAATAGTTTTTCATATTTTCTACTTACAACATTATAAGTCTGACAACATAATAGATAGTACTTTACCGAATTTATTAATTATCTTATTAAATTTCCGATCACACAATTTTTTAACTGTATATTAATCTGCCTTTTTTTTAGACAACCCCTCTCGTGTTAGTACGTTACTGCAGTAAATTAACACCAACTACCAATTCAGCCTTCATTAAGTATCCCATCCCCCTTGCATTTATAAGCCTTCTTCCTCCCATCCTCAAACCAAAAGAACTCCAAACTTTTTTGCTTGGTCCGAAAATGGCACTTGGTTCAACTGCAGCACTCGTCTTGGTCGTGTTGGCTTTTGCTAGGGTTCAACTCTCAACTTGCCAGGTTGTCAATGCCAAAATCTCCTGCCTCGACTGCAAACATAACTATGACTTGTCGGGTTGTCTCTTCAATTCCAACTCTTTTTTGACTTGTTTAAAATCCGTCCGTTTATCCTACTTACATTTACTTGCAGGCATCAAAGTTGCAGTGAAGTGTGATAAAGTGAAGAAACTAGCCACTGCTACCACCCAAGAAAATGGTGTTTTCAAAGTTGAGCTTCCGGCAACATCTACGGACTGCCTCGCCAAGCTCCTGGGTGGACCGGAGCAGCTGTACGGAAAGAACAAGGACCTGGTGTCCAAGGTTGTGAAGGTGAGCCATGACGCGAACTCTTACACCATTTCCACTCCACTAGCTTTCACAACTTCATGCCCTCTGGCTTCGGTTGATGCTAAACCTTGTGGAGTGAGTTCATCCAAGACCGTTGATCTGCCACTTCCCCCGGAGTGGGGGCTTGCACCGTCCAGCTATTACGTTCCTTTCATCCCCATCATCGGTATACCTTGATGCTGCATCTCGGTGGGTTCTTCATTAATAAGTACCTGGGAGAAAGACTTATTATGTGTTTATAATAATATATATAGTTTATGAGTGCAGACTGTTGCCAGATTTTCAGTAATTTCTATTAATTATGTGTATTTAAAAGTGGAGAGCTTGGTGTAATCTTTGTTCCTTGTTTAATGCTAGCATATAGACAGTTTGTACTGTAAATTCGTGGCTTTTTCGCTAATTGTTATGCATTTTTGGGGATTCCATTTTAAATTTATTTTTTTAGTAAACAGCTCATTAAAATTTTATTAAAGAGCTCATTAATTGATGTTTATACTCTATAATGATATTTCCACTGTCAATTAGGTCTTTTAATAAACGACTATAAAATAAATCCTAGCGTCCCCAACACAGTTGCTAACACCACGGACGATTTGCCGCTTTCCTTCTTCATTTGCTATCCTATTCCTCCCCTTTGTTTCTCTTCTTTCCCATTCTATTTTTGGCTAGAGTCGAAAATTTTGATTCCATCTCAACATCAAGTTTATAGATTAAAATAATGATTGAAAATTTTCAAGTAAAAATTCTGATCCAACTAAAACTTGGAGTACTTTACTTGAATTGTTCATGATAGAACGTCACGTTATATCTTTTTATTGCTTCATTTTTTTTTTTGCAATATATTTGTTAAATCTGTGGACTAAAATCAATAATAGAGATACACTAAATATCAAAATAGAATAAAAAGTTCAACGCATAGAGTGGGTAAAACATTTACTTTAGAAGTAAATTTCTACATTTTTATTTCAACACGTCGTAAAAGAGAGTATGTCGCTCTCTTAATCTAATGATATGCGCCACTCCAATCCAAATCTTTTTGGTGAAGAGCGGATTCGTTCGTAATTAATTAGATTGCTATTCCTTGGTCGCTTTGTTCATTTTTATTTCAACAACCATGGCTACCATAAAACAAGGGAGTAGTAGTAGTAGCCCATGTTCCAGGCCAACTTGCAAGAGTTGTGGGACCAAGCTGCTAAGAGATTAGTTATGCAACGCTTCCAAATATTTAACCATCATTGATTTCTCTGCCTCCTTTTAACATATACATATAAGTAAGGGAAGGGGAAGGAACCTTCACCACATCATTTGTCATTTCACTTTCGATAGATACAAAAAGAACGTTTAATAAAATATAAAATGATACAACAGGCATGATCGGTTTGAGTAAAATTAAGATATATGCTCCATAGAAGACGGTTTCTCATACTTGTTACATCATGCTCATGGTACCGGCAAAAATGTAAATTAAGAACAGTGTTTGAGATGAAAAGAATCGGATTAATACTTGAAAGTTGGGTCGCAGCAGCTAAGGTGTTTTTTGTAAGTCTCAAAGATACAATCCAAATTAAATAAAATCAACTTTGAGTTTACTTGGATCTGATGAAGGATGTCATTTCACAAACTTTCTCATGATACACATTCAGTCCCATTCTCACAAGTTTCTAGCACTATTTTCACTTTCCCCGATCAACTACCTTTCATTTATAGGGATAATTAGTTGCTTCCAAAGCTGAGCGAGTAAATCCCACATTTCATGTCCCCTCTTTTTGGTGGATTTGAAGACAGGGCTAGAAATTAATTGCAGATATGAAGGGTTTTTGCTCATATTAATTACTTATTTAAGGCCGCAAGGAAGGAAAATTCAAAATTGCTCGATAGCTGGATCAAAATGGCTGCTAAAAGTGAGAGATCGAGACTTTCTTAACTACAGCTATATTGCAAGTAGCAAATCAAATCGATAAATATGATCATATTCACATTTTTAAATGTCAATTTATTTCTTTACTGTTATTATTTATACTACATTTACTGTTCAAACTCTTTATTTTTCCAAGTATCTGTAACTCTACCTGAAATATTTACTCAACGAACATGAGTATAAAAATATAATCTTTCAAATATATGAGAAAACGTAGTAAAAAATGAATCTAAGTCAAACCATGTACGATAGGTATAACACTAAACATGTGTCACATGCGGATCCCCTATGTATTATTCTAGCCAAAAGAAGAACCATTGCCAATAACAATAGAATACAAAATATTTGAGCAAAAATTTTCCCGCGCCTAAATTTGATTTCATTTAAAATGATCCCCTAGCACACACAAAAAATAGTGAAAACAACTAAGGAATGTCCTGGGATTTTCTTTTGTCTAAAACATTTAATTTAGTACAAATGCAATCGCATACAGTGTTCTACTTAAGTGATCAAGCTGTTTTTACCTTTCGAGAATGGGGGCGGCGAAATAAACTGATTAGATCATCAAGACCCTGTGGCAATGAATCGTCATTAAATTAGCATTTAAAAAAAACTGTGAGTCTAAATACAGAAATAAAAGATGAATATTCAGTGGTTTAATATCTGCTTAATAAATTAAATAGTGGCTTACCCTAGTTGTGATGACAAGAAAACAAAAGAGCACTATCAAATATGATCCCAACACGAGAAGTAACACCAAGTCGAATGCTACACTAGCGACCTGTGATAATACAATCAAACTGTTCATTTTATGCCGTAGAAAACAATGAGAAATGAATTACAGAAATTAATTCTGTCTATATATCCCTAGAGTTCCAACCAATCTCATGAATCATAGAGAAAAATAAATGATAAGAGTTAATTCAACATATAGTAAATACCTGATAGATGTTAAGCGTTGCGCTAGTTGAATCATAGAAAGTGAACATCCCTTCAAGAATTTCATGTTGCAAGTTTACTTCGTCAGTGTGATCGGCTAATTCCTGCCAAAGAGTGAAACAGACAGCAATCAGAATTGAAAGTTAAAGAAAGCGCATATCAAGTAATTCTAGTGTTTTCACCATTTACCATAAATCCGCATCCAAAAGATTGTTCCATTGATACGAGAATAAAAATTTTGAAGTGAAGCAGCCTGGGATGAAATAGAGGTAACTTTTTTTCCTATTTAGTTTTGCTTCTGAATGGTGCATGCGACTTTATTTATATAAGCAAAGTATTTCTTTATGCCAACTCTAAGGAAACCAATTCAATTCTTCAAGTGTACATCATCGTCATCTTAAAGAAAGAAACAGAAACATAAAAGAGAAGATCAAGAAAAAGGAATAGAAGACAAACCTTCTTTAATGCCATGACAAAGGGATCATTCTTTGAAAGAAATGGAGCCACTCGAGGTGTTCGTGATAAAAGATCCAGCCAAGATTGCACATAAGCAGGATTGACAGCCAAACTACCACCATCTGCAAATATTTTGACATTTTTTCCCTGGTGCCCGTAGATATGCCTCTGCACAAAGTAGTGACAATTTTAAAATAAAAGTAAATGGTAATGCACAAGCAATGATTAAATCTTAATGCCTTTGAATAAGCAACTATCCAAATACTCTTTACTATGCGTGTTAAATAAAAATAGAAAAAAACAATCACCAAGATAAAGCCTTTGCTAACTAGTTGGTTGGCTTACATAGGTCATATACCAGTATACTCTATCTAGAAATTGACCAGCAAAAGCATGGTCTAAATGACACTTTCCATTTTGCAGAAAACTCAAAAGACTAAATTGCATCAAGAACCAGCATACATGCGATGCTAAAATTTTTCCTCCGGTGAGAATTGTGATTGATTTTTCCTAGGTTAATATGCAACAGGAGAAATTTTCACTTCTATGCTTACACATGTAAATCCATTACATTCCACACACGAGCATCACATGACAGGTTATTCATGCCACTGACTCATTTGACACTGCTTTGGTAAAGATCGGACACAGATGTAATTGGCCCACAGTCCACACATTCCCTTCCAGAAGTTCTTATACTGCAGCATAGATTTCCATTTTTTATGCTTACTAATAAAAATGGGAGGGACTGAGGGTTCTCTCTTTCAAGCACAAACTTTTTTTGGATAAGAAGAGGAGGCTTCGTTAAAAACCCCCCTTCATGATTAAAGGAGTGCCAAGAGGTGCTCCTTAATCAGCGGAAGGAGAAAACGAGTGCCTCAAAATTCATTAATAACAGTAAGATACATAATGTTTAAAAAACAGCCAAAACACCCCCCTTACAATGAACAGCCAGAAACACTTAAACAAACACCCTAAACAGAACAATGAAACTAGCCAATACCAACCTTAGCTAAAGCATCAGCCTCAATATTAACTTTCCTAGCAACCCATCTAATAACACCCTCCATATCTCTTAACCTAGCAGCAACGTCCTTCACTAAATCAACATAAACAAAAGGACATCTATCTAAATTCTTAACCCATTCCAATACTAGTTTACTATCACTTTCAACAATCAAACGCTTCTTGAACTGCTGTCAAAGAGAATCAAAAAAAATTAAACACTTAATGGCTTTAAGCTCCATCAAAGGAGGACCAGGTACCCAATAGCCTCTTGGAAAGAACCCATGACCGAACCATCCTCATCTCTCAATAAACCACCTATACCACTTTTCCTCCAATCACCACTCACAGCTGCATCCACATTCAGTTTTGGAAAGCCCTTTGGAGGAGGAAACCAAGACACAATATTGAGGATCGAATTCCTGGAAGAAGAGCATAAATCCCCAATAGAGGGATCACTAATGAGAGAGACCTTAGAAATAGACACATCCTTGAACTTAGCTAAAAACCAAGAAGCGAGCCTAAATCTTGCCATAAAAAATAGATCAATCTGATCTAACAATCCCCCTTCAAACACAATGGCATTTCTGAATTTCCAAATAGTCCAAAAAAAACAACTCCCAGAATAAAGGACCAAATAGATGAATAAGACACCAAATCATCCCAAGCTAATAAAAAACTTTAAGCATTGCCATGTAGAACCGAACTAACTTTCCAAATATTCATAAACTTATTCCATAGGGACCACGCCACAGAGCAGGTGAAGAATAAATGAGAGGAAGATTTGATCTCCCTTTTACAAAAAGGACATGCAATGTCTACAATCCTCGAAACCCCTCGCTTTTATAATTCAGACTTTCTGATGCACTACCTGCCACATAAAAGTCTCCACTCTTGGAGGCATCAATCCCCTCCAAATGTTTTTCAACCAAAAAGTCTCAGCTGCCGAATCATAGTAGAATAACTTCACACAAGAGTTGACTGAATAAATACCTTCCCCATTTCCTCTCCAGATCAGACCATGTCTCGACTCTTGGGAAAGACTAATATTATGAATGATAGCCATTAAGTTAGAAAACTGATCCAGTTCCCAATCACACAAGTTTCTTCTCATCTGAACGTACCAAGACCAACCTGCTGATCGAAACTCACCAAACTCAATTAACTTTCCATTCTGATTCAAAGAAAGAGCAAATAATCTCGGGAAAACAACTTTAATAGGAGAATCTAATGCCCAACTGTCAAACCAAAATCGGATACTCTCTCCATTGCCCACTTGGACTTTAAACAAGCTTCGAAACTTAGCACCAAACTGATCTTCTATAAAATGATTATACAAGTACAAACTCATTTTATCACAAGAATGGCATTCAAAAAATTAAATCAATATATACAAGTAGGTCATTTGATCTTACCGCAAAACTTTCAGCAACTAACTTCACACCTCTAGTGATTGCAGTTTCATTCACAAATTGTCTGCAAATAGTCAAAGCTCGCAGCAACTAATCTCAACCATAAAGACACTATGGCAATTTTATAATAAGGGCTCGAGTCTGAAAATATTACCTGCTATCAAACAGACCTCCAGTGCTTTCTAGGAGTTCAGGAGCAACAGGAATTTGAGATAGAGTGGCTCCGGTAACTCTCAGCCTTGAGAACTGTTCATGCTCCCAAGCTACCTACAGCAAATCAACAGTTCTATTACCAGATCTAAACAGCAGAATTGCAAGAACATAGCATTCTTACATCTATCCACAGAATGTTCAGATAAACAGATGTACTGTTCCTTCATGAGCGATATCTATCGGTAAATTCATATGTTACCAACAATAGCAAAAAGTTCAGATTTAACAGATTTATTTCAATAACAAGTTAACCATTGCCAGAAAAGATGTTCAGACCAAAACAGACCACAGATCATAAAGAGCAAAGTGGTTACAGCTGAATTTTGGAAAACCACAAAAACAATTAATTCATAGATACATCAAATTAAAGTTTCATAGGTCTCTCATAGATGAAGTTGATTATAATAAAATTCTTATTTTCAGAAAATGGTAACAGAAGATGCTTAAAACATTGAAACTTAACATATACAATTATACATATATCAACTCACTCGAGGATTGGAGATGTTTATTTTCTTGTGCTTCAAGCCAACTTTGATATCCAACTCCTCTGCCACATTCAAGAAACCCTTCAATAACACCATTTATCAGATTCTGAACAATGGAAAGAAAATGTAATATGATGCACTCAAGACCTATTATTCAAGATGCTGCCAGCTTTTTTTTTGATAGGAATTGCAGGCCTCGTTAAAAACCTCCTTCATGATTAAAGGAGCTTATAGAGAAGCTCCTTAATCAGCGGAAGGAGGAAAAGAGTGCCTTAAGATTTTATTAACCATAGAAAGAACACGATACAACCAGGGAGCCACCCCCAATAAGATGCTGCCAGCTTACATGTGTTACTCTGACTCAGATGTCAGTGTTGCACATGGGTCTGGCTATATTTTTCATATCCCCACATCCAAGCGTCAGACACAAGTGCCGGACACGGATACTTCATGAAAAATGAAGAGTCCAGGTAACATAGCAGCTTACCTCGAAAATCTGCTTGATGTAGGCATTGTCTGGAGGTTTAGAAACATGAATCCACAATTCATTATACCAAGAACCAATACTATTTAAGCAAATAGCATAGTCAATACTCTCGCGTAAACGCTGATCAAAACTACGAAGCCACTGCACAGAATATGATACTCACATGACCAGGGCAACAAAAATGACAGCAAAAGTAACTAGAAAGATATCCAAGCCATTGAAAGAGATGATAAAATTTCAGTTCATCGAGGAAAATGAATCACCTTCTGAGTTCCGTTGTAGTTATATGGTCCACCAGATGTCAGGCCGAAAAGTAAATTGTACCTTCCTCTTGTCTTAGGATTTGAATAGAGGAGAGAGAATAACCTAGCTATTTCAAGAAGCGCCACAATGCCACTCCCATTGCTGTCACTTCCCATTGATAATGCCTACACATTTAAAATAATTTATGACATCTTCATTTGGATAATTGAAGCTGATTTTCCTTAGTGAAAAATAATAAAATACGCACAGGAGCAGCCCCGAAAGTATCATAAGATGCCACAATAGCAATGGTTGGAAGTTGATTCATATCTCCATCAGCTTTCAATCCAGACAACCACCCCTGTTATCAAATCATAATTAGCAGTGTGAAAACTTCTTCTGGAAAACTCCATTAATAGCATATTCAAAATTCCCCAGATAATACATGCAATAAAACTAGCGCAAGAAAAATTAAACATACCAATATCTGAAGTCGAAATATCTTTCCAAGCCAAAAATATAATATGAAGATGGGGCAAGCAACAAGTGAAAAAAACGCAATGTAATTTCCAGAAGCGATCATACATTTCTATTGTCTCCAGTCAGAAGACAATATAGTTCTTTCTTTTAAACCACAACTAGTATTCTTTCATATGATAAAAGCAAAACCAAGGGTTGGTAAATTCCGCATGTTAATATGTCTCAATATTATTGTACATAAGCAGAGCAGCTAGAATACAAGTCGTGATTTTTCTCTACTATGTAAAAATAGACACAAACCTGAATATTAGTGATGGTGGGAGATGCAACTTTCTTCGGTTCAGGTGTTGGGATAACAAGCTTGTATCTGCATTTTTTCACAAGAGTTTGAATAACATTAACAATGACAGCAAAAGGTATTTTATTACCAATTCAACATCAAAATGAACAAAAATAGGGACCACTTATTTGGGTGTCTAGCTGGAAAATGATCATTCTACAATATTTTGAGATATAAAACAAGTATCCAGGTAATATGTTTTCTACCTCATAAAAAAGAGGTAAGCCAGTTTCCTAGTACCAAACAGGAATATACAGAACACTTGAATAGAAAGTATCATTTTTTTAAATTTTTTTTGAAAAAACTATAAACTGACCCTCCTGTAGTTGCAGTAGCAGGTTGACCGGTTGCATCATTCTTCTTGATATCCGCCAACACAGTATCAATTTCATTGTTCTCAAAAGCAAAATAGACAGGATACTGCAGCACAAAATCCCCAAAATAAAGTTATGGTCGTCCACCATAAAGAAGATATAAAAAATCAAACAAACAAATAAATAATAAAAGAAATCAAGAGTTGAGAATTAGCAAAGTCCTCCTGTAATTTTACTCCCTTAAAATGATTTAGTAACAGAGACTTCATTTGGAGTCGCCAGAACACTATTAACTTGGATTTAAATTCCAAATATCATTTTCATACAATGCAAAGAATCTGAAAACTGAGAAAGGACAGATATCTTCATTATCTGACAACACTAGTGGAACATAGGAGGATAGTGCCCTTTTGGACACTAGCATGTATGAAATCTAAGTAACTATCCTTGTATAATTAATTTTTAGAAACAGCCTACCAAAGATCCAAGAAAAGAAATAGAAAAAGATGAGCTCAAATCCTGTTTATAAGCACTGGTGTTGAATTACATATTTCTGGCAGGTTTTAAGAACTTTCAAGGTTTATGCTATTTTCCAATCAAACAATTAATTGATATGACAATAACAGTTATCCACTTAAGACGGAAGCATGGTGCGAGGAATTGGAATCAAAGTCTTTTAGTTAAGCTAATAAATGACTAGATATGGAAAAACATTAAACTTGATTCAGTCTCATTCAACAGAGACAAAATAAAGCTCCAAACGAGAAAATCTAATCCTTTAAAGTGTCAAGTTTACAGAACCCAGATCTTAATGAAAATTAGTTTAACAAATGAGGAAGCTTCAGTTACCAAGAAACCAAATTAACATGGAAACTTACGTAGGGATATAGACGCATTACTTTTGCATGGAGGTAAATTTAACCATAAGAACTATTATCTCTATTATACTCACAGGTAAATTTGCATGTATCAGTAACCGTTCAAGCTCTGCCAACACGTTTTTCAGTTTCTCTCTTTCATGAACTTGCTTGTTCCCTCCATTTCCAGGGTTAAATATTTCAGGAAGCAAAAATAGCAATCCTCCTAACAGCTTTTTCTGGTTAATATAATCTGTCAAAAGCCAAAAGAAAAGGTTTAACTAATTGTTTTCTGAATTAAAAAAAAGGCTAAGAACTTAAATTGTTGAGATGAAAGTGAACCTCGGACGAAAGTGATGTTTAGTTCACGTAGAGGAATGATGAGGACGGTTCTGGAAAGATCAGCGCCAGGAGGGAAATGCAAGGAGGCAGCATGGTGGTTGAGGGCAGCGAAACGAGATCCGAAAGCGGAACCAGACATGTCGTATTGGATTAGACGGTAGACGTCGATGGCGGCGGCGGCATCGCAAAGTTCGACGCAAGCAACTAAAATGAAGAGTAGAGAGATCACTGAGTACATCGATTCTTGCAATCCCCGGTGACCGCGGCCGGAGTTCTTAGAGAGCATCATGGGAGGACAGATTGGATCTAGGGTAAGAGAGGGAGATATTAGATTAAGTAAATGTTTAAAAGAGCGGAGTTGATTCCATTTGTAATGCAGCTTTTTTAGTTAAAAACTTCGTTTTTATCATAAAATTAATGTCAGATAAGTTGAAAGAATATTACGGTTTAGACAATTGTTTTAAATCAATCATAAAATTTATGAATTTTAGTTTTTTTATTTAAAATTAAACTATAATTTTACTCTTATTAATGAATAAACTCCACTCAATTATGTATTTATATTTTATTTTAATAATTTAATACTAACATACTTAAAAAATAATTTATTTTAATTACTTAAAAAGTAAATAAAATTCATGGTTTATATATTAAAATATTAATAGTGAGTTATTATAAAATATATTTTTTATATTTTAATTTATAACATAATGTCTATAATTATTTTTTCGAACTGACTTTTTAATAGTAATTTTAAACAGTTAAATTTTAAATTATACTTTTGTGCATTACTTTTAAAAATTTGTTTGTATAGCACTTTTAAAAGTCGTTTTCTTTTATAAAAAAAAAGTTATATCAGATAGACCCTAATTAAATAAATCAAGTAATTAATCAAAGTCTGATATGTGATACGAGTTAATTCGAATTAACTAAGGTGAAAAGACAAAAAAAATAACCTTTTAACAAATAATTTGTAGGGTAAATATAGTTTTCATTTTAATCACCGACATTAGTTTAATAGTTTTCCTTTCTTAGATTTTTCATTCTAACCTTTTAACTTAAATTCTATGCCATCTCAAAAAATATTTAAAATCCGTAAATTAACTATCAAGAAGAATAAAACACAATACCCCATGCCTAGGTAATGAATAATGAGCAGTACAATAAATGCGTTAAAATTGTACAAAAACAAAGCAGTGTTTAAGTTAAATTGTTATTAAAATTGAAAAATAAATACGATTACTTTCCCATTTTATTTGGGAATAAAATTTTATTAAAATTTTTACTTAATTTTACAAAATTAATATTAAATTATTCTAAAAATAAATATACAATATTTATTTAAGGTAAGATATGAATTTTAAATTATTTAAAAGATTATATTTCATATTTGAGTTTATTTCAAAATAAAATTCATATGAAAATTAAAAGAGAATTGGCTTTGCAACATCCATTTTTTCATTCGGCAAAAAGACCAAACGCCAATGGATTATGAATAGCTGAATGCCAACTGAATCACACTACCAAAAAATACATGGATTTTGAGCATCATATTCATTCTTGGAGCTTAGAAATATATACATTAAAACCTCAAAACGGTCAAATGGAGGAGCTTCAAGGCTTAAGTAGCAATTCCGCATTCGGCATTCATCCGTTCTCGCAAGCTAATGTATGCAACTCCAATCCTACTCGAATCAGCCCATGAAAGTAGAAAATGAATTACTAAGTTGTTTGGATGGCTGACTTGCCGGAATCATCAAAGGTAGCTCAATTTCCGACCGAATGGTGAGTGATCAGTTCAGTGTTTGAAGTGTTCTATAAATTGGAGACTCGGTTACTAGACTGTTACTCGTTTTCCGGAAAGAGAAACTGCAGGTCTTCATTGTCCCTGTATACTTGAACAAGAGCAGCTGCTTTGTATGCAAGCATCCCAAGCATTGCAGGCACAATCTATGAAGAATAAATACCAAAAACTAGTTTGAGTGTTCTATAATTGGAGACTCGTTACTAGACTGTTACTCGTTTTCCGGAAAGAGAAACTGCAGGTCTTCATTGTCCCTGTATACTTGAACAAGAGCAGCTGCTTTGTATGCAAGCATCCCAAGCATTGCAGGCACAATCTATGAAGAATAAATACCAAAAACTATTAATGACGGTACAAAGTACTTTTTGCAATATTTCAAACTTCAATCCTGTTTTTCGAATTTCACAAACAGGTCATCTTTTTCTATGTTACTGGAACTCGATTGTAAGTGTCGGATATGGTATGCTTAATTTTTCTTTTTCCATGTATTTAGAATATCCTTGGAGAGTCTTATCCTCGTATCTATATCCAAATATGTGTAAAGAGAAATGAAAAGTCAGAGCAACATAATAACTAACTGTATGCAGGATATTGCTCAACAGGTTAATATCAGGGGGAAAAGAAGGACAAAGTGTCTAAAACCTACCTGGAAATCAAAGAAATCATTGGCCAAAAATTTATGGGACAGGATCCACAGTCCATATACAGCAGCCGGGATCACTAGTCTGGGAGAAGAAAGAGCAATGCCGCTACCCTTAATCGTTCTCTCAAAGAAGTCTTGCAGGTCCTCGCTTCGTATTCCTATTCTGAAATAAGAAAACGAATATTGTTGAATTCAATCGAAGAGAAAAAGGATTCGCATACTACTACTATGAAAAGAGTGATCACAAAATCAAGTTATTAGAGGTACTTTTTAGCTTTCTTCTGCTTGAAAATCTGAGGAACCATTTCCTGAGATAAGTTGTCCGCTTGTTGATATAAGAGCTGGAGGTATACACAGCTGCCCAGAAAATGTACTAGGTTAAAGCATTCGGCTAAGATGACTAACATGGTGGAAAAAACAATAATAAATTGGTTCTCTCCTCATCCTTCCCTCAAGCAATTAGTATATGAGCACCATATGTCCGTAAGTTGGGCTTGCAAGAATAAAAGATATCATCAACTAAATGCTAATCGGGTTATCCAATTCAAAAATCGTGCAGAAATAATTTTAGAGGATTAAAATTTAAAATTTTATTAGGCCCCTAATAATTTAAACGGCAAAAAAGTCACTGTGCCTTGGCGTAAATCATCCTCCTGTTACTCCAGCTGATGAACCATGACTGCGATGTTTTCTTCTAATAAGATAAGAATGGGATCTGTCCAGTCCAAACATATCATATACGTAAACATGTGGAAAGAAGGGGGCTTAAACCTCGACTAATTACCTCTTTGGTTCTAGAAATTCACTACAAACACATGCTTGCCACACTCAGGTCATCAAGGTTGATTCAACAGAAATGACCTAATTACAAATGTAGCAACTAACCTGAAAAGAACCCCAATCCAGATTCATTTCCAGGTTTCAAACAGGGCACAACTGATCAAATATACATATCACTGAAATTTGTACATCACCACCCAGTACTTTACCTGAAGTGATAACACTACCAAACAGTACCCGCTGCATGCCGTTCCAATTCCAATAGATAAAAGCATCAATTCCCTCTTGAGCTGGGGGATCAAATGACAAACAATTAGCATTTTATTACCTTTCAAAACAATTTAACAATTGTCTGATGCAAGATATGGTCACATTATGCAACTAAAACATCTTTCCAGTTTTTCAGTCCTTGATACATTACAGAAATAACTTCAGATAGAAAAATAAACCCCTACAACTAACTGAGAAATCTGAAGAGTGGCATACAGCTTCATAATTTAGAAGATTCAGTTTCTTCCTTCTTTCGCTGTCATCCCGCAACACCTGTTCATACACATGGGTTAGTAACAAAAAATAGTGACCTATTTCATATGGTTGACAAGCCTTTTCCCAAAGTTAATAAATACAGGGGACGTATAGGCCTTTATCCATTGGATTCTGTTCTATTTGAGATAACCAAGGACAGCCAAATTATTTTTGGCAAGAACTAGTCTCACGAACACACGTGAGTCACTTTGACTGTAAAATGATAATAAAATGATAACCAGACATGGGGGAATGAGGGAGGATTATAATAAAAAAGTAAACCTTGGCAATGGCTTTCTTATTCCTTGGTGCAGAATTGTCACCTGATAACCATTCTTGAGTGGTTGACAGCTTCAAAAACCCACTATCATCATCACTTCCAATGACCTACACATATTTATAATCAATAGCACAAGTGAACTGAATCAGCTATTCAGCTTCATAAACAAAATAATATGCAGAAAAATATGCAAACATGGAGAGTATATACACAAGTAAAGGAAAAAAAACCCCACCCCTCTCCTCCTTCCAAGAAAAAGCAACCCGTCCCTCTTGTATTATAATGACAAACAAGAACACAGAAGAGGTTAGGCTAAGGGAGTTGAGGATTTAATATTATTGCACATGGCAAACCGACATGTTAAACTAAATTCGTAAGCAATATAAAGTAAAGAAATACTATATTTGTACCTGCTCAGATTGCTGAGCGATATCTTCTGGTTCAATGGCATTGGTATCAACAACTTTCAGGACCTCCCTCTGCCATAGCTTGTCTGAAACTTTTGAAATAAAATCGCCATTTACTTCTCTATCCCTGAAGAACATCTCCAGAACATTCTCTTCTACAGATTCACTCACTGAAAATTTTATTGAAATATAAGATAAGTGAAAAATTACCACCTATAGTCAGCAATTATAATGTCAAATAAATATATAATCAAGCATGTATAACTCATACACTAAAATCTTATCAAAATCTAAGCCAAAACTGGTGGGTGAAAATTTCACTTATTTGCATGAATGGTTTCATGGATATGATGATAAAGAAATTGCAGCATGCGAAATTGAATACGATTTCATGAAATTAGTAGCCATGGTTTTCATGATCAAACAGTAAAATTCATCATAAAGTAAAAGGCAGTACAGTAGATCCAATAAAACATTCGTCCTTAGACGAAAAAGCTCCTGGACAAAAATTTAATTCAATGATAATCCCCTAAAAAAATTGATTTTGGTAAGTCAAAGAACTTAGATTTGAAAAGAGACCCACGCCAAATATGACCCAAATAACCATAAAACACAAAATCCAATGGGTTAATACGAAGTGTGAGGAGGTGTGTGAAGATGTTACCTGGAGGAGAGCTTGTTTTTAAGACGTGTACAGTTTGGGGTCTAGAAAATGGAGGTCTTTGAGGGCGAGGATGGGGAAAGAATCTTGTATATGGAGAACTATTACAGTTGGTGATGAAAGCAACCCCTGAAAGAGTGTCCATTGGCAATGGCTTTCTTCCTGTGAAATTGGTGGCGAACGTATAAATATCTATACACTGCCGCCAAGTATTTACAACTGGAAAATGCCTTGTCCTTTGTATCATCTCAAATAAT